TTCCTCTCCGCTAACATTCAGTTGTTGGTTCAGATTCAATAGTAAGTGTGTGCATGCACACGTGCGTGCACACACACAATCTTACCTGGATAGACCCGGCTAGCCTGATCTCATCAGATCTTGGAAGCTAAGTAGGGTTGGCCCTGGCTAGTATTTGGATGGGAGACCCCCAAGGAATACCAGGGTCGTGACATGGAGGTAGGCAATGGCAAACCACTTCTGAATGTCTCATTCCAAAAGTACTGTGACTTGACAGTACTTTCCACCACCATATCTATCAATGATTGATATATAGATATGGATATAGACAGATACACATATACATATACACCTCCACTTATTTTATAGACATACCATTTACCTAACATTGTTTAAATATGTGCTCGTAGTCTCATAGTTGCTTCTCCTTTTGGCTTAGTAAAACTACAAGCGCAGTTTGTGACTGAAATGCAAAGTGCTTTCTCATATACTCTGTAATGATCAGGTTGCTACCTCCTAACTCACAGATAACTCCTGTTACTATTAACAGTGAGAGAATAGGCAGAAAGAAATTCAGCAAATATGGTTTCTCTTGAGCCAATGTTGTGGTAGTATAGCTGACTGTCCTTTTCTCCCATAGCAGATTGGAATGAGACCTCTATCACAGTGAACCTGCAAGTCTGATCTGGGTAATTTTTGTCACTTCTCCAGGTTAGCTACCTAAACTTTTAATTAAATGGAAGTTCTTTGAGTCAGGAAATCGCCAAGCACAAGCCCTAAATTTCTTTCCAATAGGCATATGGCATTCTCTAAAAGTATTGGCTGTCTCCCAGCCACTTCCTGGTTTTATACCTGATCTCTGACTGCTTTTAAGTGTTTCTTTAAAACTGTGTAATGTTATTTATGATTTAGTATGTTTTTTGTTAAGTTTGTAAAAAAGTGGTGTGTTTTTAATTTAATCCTCATGGCCCTGCAATCAGACTCTCACAAAAGTCTAACTATCCTGTTGTTTTGTAAGCATGTTCAGATATTATGCCTGCCAACATTAGGACCCTGTCCTCAAAGAGGTGCTCCCTCACAGAGTTCTAAATACATGTCAACCTCTTTTTGCAACTAATTATCATAGTGATGTCTCAGATATACCGTATTTTTCGGACCATAAGACGCACCTGACCTTAAGACGCACCTAGTTTTTAAAGGAGGAAAACAGGGGGAAGAAATTCTGAACCTTCGGTCCATAAGACGCACTCACTTTTCCTCCCACTTTTTTTGGAAGAAAAAGTGAGTCTTATGGTCCAAAAAATACGGTATATAGCCCAGCTTGAGATACATGATCCAGTATCAGTCAGTACATAAACTGCACATAGAAGGCTATAGAGACCCATGCATTCTCTAGAAGACCCCTATATTATGCTCTTTATGGTTTATACTCCTAAGAATATTAATTGCCATGTTCTATACTATATTCCTAGAAGATCTCCATTAGGTAGCTTCGTGCGGACAAAATGGCAGCAGCAACATCACTCTTCGTGATAATGGTGGAAAAATTTGTTCTGACTTCCGGGTGCCTTTGTTTCCCCACAAATAGTTAGTCCCACAATAAAAATATATTAATAGAACACTGAAATTGAACCATTTGGATAATTTTAAAATAAAATGGCAGTCAGAAATGGCACCTCCTCTTCCAACCTCCTTCGTTTCCCCATCTGTAAATGAAGGAGCTAAATAAGCTTTACTAGAAGGGAGAAGACCTCTAGGAGTGACTATCTCAACCATCCAGGTCACCTTGGAATTTCAGAAATAAGCCGTGTGGATGGTATGCTAACAAGATACCTAACTCTCACACATCCCTATACCAGACAGATTCTTGAAATTGGTTTCAGAGGGTAGCCATGTTGGTCTGCAGTAGAAGAGTTAGATTCAAGTTCAGCAGTACCTTAGAGACCAACAAGATTTTTGGGATATAAACTTTCAAGAGTCAAAGCTCCCTTCATCAGGTTTAACAAAGGTATCTGACAAAGGGAACCCCCAAATCTTGTTGGTCTCTGTGGTGCTCCTGGACTCAGTTCTTGAATTGAATCTCTATCTGGACATCTGGACGGGTCAATGAACATGCAGTAGACTACCACAGTTCTCTTTCTCCAACCACTTAGCCTAGTCAGACACTGCAATTAGAGTCCAGGGATTATTATCCCCAGTTTTCTTTACAGGTCTCAGTTATACATGCCAGGCTGCCTTCTCATAATGAATTTATTTATTTATTTATTTAATACCCCGCCCAATCCCACGAGTGGGCTCAGGGTGGTTTATAGTATAAAACCCCATAAACAATAAAAACAGTAAAACCACCAGGCATTTGATTAGGAGCCGCACCTAATGAGCTTAAGACCCTGCACCCTAAAACCACCACCAACAGCATGAACCTGACTGAGAGTCAGTCCTAACATCAAATGCTGACTGCACGCCTTATTATGACTGATTGCTACCAATGCTTCACCACTGTTATACAAATTTCCTACTTGCACTTTATGATGGGTTTTATATTCATATTTATTCTGTTTTTACCTGTTTTAATTTTTTTATGTAAGCCACCCTGAGCCTGCTTTGGCAGGGACGGCAGGGTATAAATTAATTAAATAAATAAATGGTGTGGTGGTTAAGTACGCGGTCTCTAATCTGGGAGAACCGGGTTTGATTCCCCACTCCTCCACTTGCAGCTGCTGGATGACCTTGGGAAAGCCATAGTTCTGTCAGAGGTGTTCTTGAAAAGAGCAGTTTCTGTCAGAGCTCTCTCAGCCCCACCTACCTCACAGGGTGTCTGTTGTGGGGAGGGGAAGGGAAAAGAGTTTGTAAGCTGCTCTGAGACTCCAAGCGAAGGGCGAGATATAAATACAATATCTTCTTCTTCTCTTCTTCTAAAACAATAGATGGCACAATAGACAATAACAAAAACCCATGCCTCATGTCAAGCAGAAATAGGTATCCCAGGAAACTCCAGTGCCCAAACAGTACCCAAAGCTGCAGGGTGCTGGGAAAGGGCCATGAACAGGGGAGGCCAGAATGGTTGAACGTCCACTCCCTCAGCCAAAAGTCTGGTAAGAACAGCTCTGTTTTACAGACTCTGTGGAACTGTAAGAAGTCCTGCAGGGCCCTGATCTTGAGTGGGAGCTTTTTCCACCAGGTTGGGGCAAGGAATAAAGGATGCTTTACTTGGACTGACCTGACATTCAGCAAAAGCACATTTAAATTCACTGGATTATTGGCAAGACAGTCAGTGTCACTAAGTTTGAAAGTGGAACCGAACTGTAGGTAGACACTAATTCCTTTTGTCCTTATCTGGCCAGTCGGACTTCCACTACGGTTTCCCCCCTTGCCTGATACCCATACAATGTTGTTGCCTCTCTTCCTTTTAACTCCTCACCCAAAACAACAAAAGTTGCTAAAAGGGTGTGTGTGGTGGTTTAAAGGTAAAAACTAATATTTTTAATTGTGCCCACTGTGAATCCTGTGGAGATCTTTTAACACAGCTGTAACATACTCAATACAGTAAGATCCAGTGAACAATTTAGCCACCTATTCTGAACCAACTGAAATTTTCATAGATTTTTAAAAGGCACCCCCAATACAGTACAGTTATCGAGCCTTTGTGTTACTAGGACATAGATAAAGTATGTTGAGATCATTCCAAGAGTGACTGCAGCTGGTGAACAAGCAAAGTTGAAAAACAAAGCTCTAGAACATCCTCTAGTTGTGAAGCTCATCTTTAATTTGCCTTGAGGACATCTGGAGAGGCAGCATAAAAATTTCCTAAATAATTAAATAAAGAGAATGCAAACTCATCCAGTAGACGCTGAATACCATTTTCATGGTCAGGTATACTACCCACCAATTGTATCTCTCCTATCTGGACTTAGCTTCAATTAATTAACCCACTTTTGGCCTTCCATAACAATTTTATTGTACTCCTAAGAGGTTGTATACTGAGTTGCTAATTGGGCGGGAGTGGTATATGCATTCCTGGATAGCAGCCATTGGTTGTATATATGTTGAATCTCAATCTGTTAATCTCAAACAGTTACATTGGTATGGTAGCCATGTGTAATCATTCCTTGTTTTATATGTGTGTGTGTCTCTTTAAAAGTTTGGTTGCATGGCTGAGATATATTAGAGTGGTTGAAGAGACAAAAGTGGTGTGATTGGTGATTGACAGAGAGGGGGAGGGGTTTTGGAAGTGGTTCTGAGTGGATGAATATGTATGTCTGTCAGGAGTGATAGTTACAAGTTTGACAGTTGATAAAGACAGTTGTTAAGTTAGTTCGTTCTGAGGTCTGTGAGAGAAGCAGTCGTGTGTGTGATATAAGAGTTAGTTCTGTGAATGAAGGAAATCACAGAGAGAGGAAAAAGTAAATGAAAGTTTAATTGAAGACAAATTATAGGAAAGGCTGTATGTCCTGATATCTTGGAGAGAAACAGTGAACTTATAAGACCTTGAGTTAAAGTGTTACAAAGTTACCTGAAAGATCCCTGTCAGTACGGGAGCAGATTTTGTGTGAGACACCAAGCAATTGTTCAAAATATTCACTTTACGAGTTACATTATTATACCCTGTTATTTATGAATTATTTCAATAAATCCTCTTTTATTTAAGTATACCAGCTTTGAAAGAAATACTTCCTCAATACCACATAGTTCCCCATAAGCCTTAAACTCGACCTACCTACCCAGTAATAGCAAAAGTAAAGTATAAAGGTTTGGAAAGCCTTAAATTTCCTGGTGGCAGCCGGATATACCCTAGTAGAACAAAATAAAAAACACTTAAAAGGGAAACCAGTCCTCCCCATATAAGGGGTCGTCACACCATGTGATACATTCTTCAACTGAATTGATCTCTTATAATTCAAACAGCTTCCAGCTATTCCCTATATAAAATATAATAATCTGACAGACCTATTTTCTTATTCTTACTTAAATATAACACTCTTCTTATTTTTGTCTACAGGAAATTACATCAACAGTTTGAAATGTATAAGGAGCAGGTGAAAAAGATGGGTGAAGAATCGCAGCAGCAGCTGGAGCAGAAGAGTGATGCTCCAACCTGTGGTATTTGCCACAAAACAAAATTTGCCGATGGCTGTGGCCATAATTGTTCATATTGCCAAACTAAATTCTGTGCACGTTGTGGAGGAAGAGTGTCTTTACGCTCAAGCAAGGTGAGAGTATTTTACAATGAGTGCCTATGAGCTTTGATTTGATGTTGTTGAATGTTATCTTTAATGCTCTGCACTAAATATTATGTACATTATGTATTGTGTTTCATTAAGTTACAATCTTTATACGTAGAAAAATACTTGCTAATAGATTATCTTAATGTTGTTTCATACGTAAAAATCTCTTAAAGTCAAGACAAACCTGCAGATGAATGCAAAAAAATAAAATTAAAAAAAACCCTTTATAATCCCACAAATATTTTACCAACTTGCTCACAACATATGTTTTGGTGTGGCTGGTGTAGTAGATCTGGCAAGCTACTTATCTAGAAGAAATAGATGAGGACTCTGGGAAAATCGTTGACTGCAAGTCTGATTCAATGGAAGAAAACTATCTACTAGAAAGTTTGGGAAAACCTTTGGCCAACTCAGTTTCCTGCATGACTTTGGACAAGTCTGTTAGCTTCTACACAAGAAGAATACAAAATAATTATTTCAAACAGGATTACAAATAACCACTCACTTTAGCTACGAATAAATTTCCCCAAACTGACCAATGGCTGATCCAGAGCATCCCCAGCAACTGCATGTGGTGAAGTTGCTAATCTGCTGGAACACTAGACTTACCACTGATGAGGATATGGTACTATTTTGCACGCATGAGTGGAGTCTGATATTATCAACTTTAACTCCTCTTCATCCCTGCTACTATATTGCCACATGCACTAAGTAGGAAGGGAGGATGACACAGTGCTTTTTCCAGCTCTAGTAGCTGCACCTCTGACTTTTTCTTGTGCATGTCAATTCAAGGCTTTTCATAGCCTGCTAAACTCAGTGCTGTGGTCATGTGCTGCTCCTTTAATTTTCCTAGCAAACAAGTCAGCATCCATGCACTTTCCTCCATTCTAGCTCAAGGAAAGCAGGGAGATTTACTGGAAGAAGCTAGATTCTAATGGGCAAACAGAAGAGTAAGAAGCTGTTCAATAGCTCATTGCCCACCAAGGAAACTGTGGACTGCTGTTGCTGTAGCTCCCTAGGGAGGCTGCCCAGCAGGGCAACAACTTCAGCTTGTCTTTCAGTTTCATTTCCTGCTGCATCATTGTTTCATTGCCTTTGTTCTTATCAGCTGTTCTCTTTTGGTCTGATTTATTCTTTTTCCTTCCTTGTTGTTCACAATTCTCTTTACATCTTACCCCATTCTTCTCTCTTTCTCAGTTTAATTCATTTTTTCACTTTTATTTTCCCACCTTTTCTGACTATTAATCATTCTTTCCCCATTGTCACCCCCCCCCATTACAACTGATTGTTTCCTTTTTCTTTTGCCCCTATGGCTCTGCTACTTCATCTTTCACTTTCTTTCCTTCATCCTCCATCTTTCTCTTTGTTAACTCCCTAACTCTTCTTGCACCTTTACTTTTTTTTAATTTACTGAGGGCATTGGTATTCAGTGTGGGAATATCACTGCTGAGATTCACTGTGGACACATGTTAAATAAAACATAGATTCACCAATAAAGTATTAATTTTTTTAATCCCAGGTGAGAGAGTTTAGGGTGAGGGAGTGACTAGACCAAGGGCATCCGGTGAGCTTCATGGCTGAGCAGGGATTTTAACCAGGGGTCATTTCGTAGAAAAAGAGCTAGGGGAACTCATTAGCATAACTCATTAGCATATGCCACACACCCCTGACATCACCGGAAGTGTGTCATAAGGCCACACCCCCGACATCACCAGAAGTGTGTCATAAGGCCACACACCCTGCCCCCAACAGTCCCGGCCGCCGCTGCCGGCCTTGCAGCTCCACTGCTGAGCCCCATGAGGGGCCCGGCGGTGGACCTGCAAGGCCGGTGGGAGTGCAAGGAAGCCCCGCAAAGGCCCTCCCTGGCCCCAGGAAGGCAGGGGTGGGGAGAGGCAGGGAGGAAGCAACTTACCCTCCCTCTTCTCCTATTCCCTAATTTTCTTGAATTTTGTCCACTGGAAGGAAAATGAAAACAGTTCCTTTTAAATACTGCAGTTTTGCTTTGGATGTCTCATTCTCAAGCTTGTTGTATATGAGGATCGCAGTGCTTCTGGCGGTTCAGAAGCAGCGTACTGCTTCTTGAGAGCCAGTGTGATGTAGCATCAGACTAAGGCTAGGCAGATCAAGGGGCAAATCACCACATGGCCATTGGCCAAGAAGCAAATTATTCCTCAGCCTAACCTTTAGGATCATGGTGAGGCTAACATGAAGGGATTAATTATATATGTTGACCTGAGCTTCATGAAGTGAAACTAGGGTATAAGCATTATATATGGTTTGTTTAATATTAAAGTGGAGTATGTGAACCAGACAACTGTCTTCTAATGTCTGTGTCTGAACTTGTATGTTTCTCTTAAAGATAAATCAAAATTTATGTATGGCTTACATTCTAAGACCACAAAGAAGAAGGTGGAAACAAAGTTACATACAAGGGAGCTTAGCATGAGAGGGTGGTTTATAAATATTTAAACAGAAGTTAGTGCACATGAAGACTTTTTCCAGTTTGCAGTCTCGGTTAGGCAAACCACCTGTTTCATGCATAGTTTTTAAGGATAAGAAATTAAAGGATTGAAAAAATTATTTGAAGTTTTTTTTAAACAATCCACATATGTGGGCATGTGGGCTAATAAAAAATTGTGCACTGATAACTTTTATGGACTTCTGAGCACAGCTAAATTGAAAAGCACTCAAGTGCTTTCTATGACCCATTACTTCCATGGCTAGGAGTGTTAGAAGTATCTCATTGCAGTCCTAAGGGCAGGTGGGGGGGTTAGGAGGCAGGATGGAGAAACACACATGTACATCCAAGTTGGGGTGAAACAGGCCACAGCTTTATTGACTACAACTACCAGAGCATTGGTGTGGCATAGGGCACAGATCAAGGCAGCAGGCAACCCACCTGACAGCTGATGAAACCCATCCCCAGCCTGCCTGCTGACGGTAAACCTGGGATGACAAGAGCAGTGGTCTCACATGGGCACAACCCTCTGCATGGTTCTCTTGCCACCTGTAGGTGGAGCCATGTGACAGCCCCCAAGCTGGGCATGATGCTACCTGGCTCCACCCCCAAGACCCCTTAAGGAGGTTTGCAACTGGGGGAGATGGGCACACAGGCACAGCCTCCCCTCAAATGCATCTGGTTCAATGCCTAAAACCACCCAAAGCTGTGACAAGAAAGAAATAACTGTACTACAAAACTAGATAACCGAGGGAAGGAGAGAGGGAGCGATAGCCAAAGGAGAAATTGGGAAGGCCCATCAGTCACCTGGTCGTAAAAGGGGGAGGGGTGGGCCTGGGCAACCAAAGCTTTCCCCCAGACTGCCCCTGTTCTGACAAGGCAAGGAGCTGTTGGCTGCTGCTGGGCCCTCTTAGATGGCTACGCCCATGAGGCATCATGCCACATAGCCCCCAAGCCTGATCTCTGATTCCCCCCCCCCAAAATAGCCCCAGGTAAGTTTGGGGCTGCAGCTTTACGTAAAAAGAAGCCTGCATAGATTGTTTTTATGGACGCTATAGGCCATGTACAAGATTAATTCAGATTTTTCACATGCTTACAAAAAATGAAAAATATAACATAGCTGTACTTTGTCCTGGTATGGGATTTACATTAAACATTACATGGCATTAAATATGTGTGTTCCCTCTGATTCCCTGGTTTGCCTTATTTCAGATATGGACATGGATATGAACTACTTTCTTACACTTTCTATACAGAAACAGAAGGCTATTGTGAATTGTCCAAAATGCCAATGCATTGTAATTCCCGTGCAGTCTGAATAGATAGTTTAAATTCAAAACATGTTTGTGGCTTCTCTTGTTTGATTTTGTGGGGGTTACAATCAAAAGGAAAAGGAGAAAATCCCATAGCACAACAAATCCAAATAGCAGGTTATGACATCAGAATATGAGATTAAAGGGTTTTAAAATCATTTTTAAAGGCAGTGCTCCCTTCAAGTATGTTAACTGTAATATTTTTGAGAGATGAATCAGATATAGTATTGAAATGAGGGATGAATCAGACATCGTACTCAGTTTGTTTGAGGCTTAAGTCTTCTGGTGATAGACTGATATTTGCTTCAGAAATATATTTCTAACAGGCAAGAATAATTTATGATGTCATAATGGTCCAAGAGTATGGGCATGTGGCCCTGATGGATATGTAGCAAAATGCTTTCAGACAAAGTAACAGCAAATACTTGCTGAAACTTGGTTTGGCAGTTTTGGACTTTGATGAAAATCAGAACTTAGAAATCATGGTGCTTATAGGCACGGTCCATAATAGTGTGATAATTCATATCTCTTTAGGTAGTTTAAAGCTGGTATAATAATTTGCGAATTTCATTACAGGGAGTTGTTTCCACTTGATCCCAAAGATTAAAATTATTTTTGAAAGAAAAATGCTGCTATAGATAAGAACATTAGAAGAGTTGTGCTGGATCAGACCAGTGGTTCATCTAGTCTAGAATCCTGTCTCACACAGTGGTCAACCAGTTACTCTGGTTATGCTAGTACCCACTGATAAACCTATCGTCCATGAGATATCTTTTCTATATTAAAATACAGCTGTGTGAAGGGGTGTAATATCTGAAACTCTGTCAGGGGCTGTGAGTACTCAGCACACACATAAAAATGAGAATTTGTTGATCAGTCTTGGCCCCAGGAAAAGCTGAATTCTGCCCTGTGTATAAATTATCCAAGTGAAGCAGATTTGCATATCTTATTTTACTTAATTTATTATTCAATTTTACTATTGGTAATTTGCATAGTATATTTTAGGGAGAGATGAGAAACTTTGTAGGACACTGAATCCTCTCTCTCAACTATTGGAAAAATTATTGAGCTGTCTTGAATAAATTATTGGTAGACATTGTTCATGAATATGAAAGCGTATCTTTCTTGCTGTAAAGGCTATAATCATTTTTGTAAACAAGAAAGAAAGCTAAGATTGTCAGGAATCTGAATTCTACACCCAATAATATGTCTGT